TGCTTAACCCTCAAAATTACATTTTCCCATCTGTATCTGTTTAATAGACTAGGCCCCTCTCAGTTTACTTGTCTGTCAGTGAACATTTATGAATTCACATTGCACAGTGCACTGGACTTCAGCCTGGCAGCTCTGGAGATGCTTTATCTGCTTCAGTATAAGTCTTTGGACTTCAACCACCATTTCCATGATTCTGTGACCTATTTTCTCCTTTCCTTTTTCTACAAGAGAAAAAGTGGCCACAGTGTTCAAGCCACTTCCATATGGTGTCTTAAATTGCATTCAAAGTAGGTCCTTCTGGGGATGTTTCTGTGGAGTCTGAAACCTTTGGCAAAGGGACAGAAAGAAGGGTTTGGGGCAGTGGTTCCTTTAGCTGCCGCAGCAAGTTCATCATTCAGTGCCCTCAGCAGGGCATCAGTGTCTTCAGCATCATAGCTGGTGCCACCACAGAGAACTGAGCTGTGTTTTGCTGGAAGCTGGGTAAGTTTGGAAAGGGGACAGTGGCTGTCTGGGAAGACAACTAGTGCAGTGAAGTGGTTGTCTGAATCTCCTTCTTACAAATGCTGAGAGCAACCACTGCCAATGAACCACTTTTCTGACAAGAGGTCAGGGTCTGTTGTCTGTTTCACTGCCATTTCTTTCATAATCAAGTTTGAAAGGGTGAAACTTCCATTTTCCTGTGCAGGAGCAAGGAGAGCCTGCTGGCTTGTGAGGCACTCGAGCACTGTAGGGGTTAGTTGAGATAAACTTGCTGTTTGTATATACGAGAGAGAGAAATGCTTTTGTATGTATGAGAGAATGGAACAGAGATGAGAAGCAAAATAATTTGCAGGTTTCTAGTCTTGCTACATGTAAAGATGGTGGCCTTGTCCCTTGGAGCAGAGATCTTTGGGATTAGGTGTGCTTCTATAAGAGAAAAGTTTTGATAAGTAGTGTATATCCTGATGAGGTTTAAGGAGTCAGCTCTTGCTTATGTTCCTACTGAGTAATATATGTCCTCACTGACTTCAGTGAACTTTATACTCAGTGTAAAATGTCCTGACTGATCACCCTTGCCCACCTTGCATGTGACTGGCTAAAGGAGTAGGCAGTGCTCAGACTGAAGAAGCTGTGGAAGGTATTTCATGGACCAGTGCTGAGACAGTGTGAGGTGAGGCAGCAAGCATCACAACTTGCTCTCACTGGCAAGGTAGGTATGTGAGGCAACATGACAGGAGAAAGTGTCTGAGTGCGAACAATATGCATCTGTATCCACTGCATTTAGTCAATCATTAACTATCATTGCTAACATCATATTAAAGGCACTTTCTACTACTCTGTTTCCCTCCTTGGCCAGAGAAGCAATTCCTTATGGTCTTGGCAGGATTTTGACTGTGACTGGCACCAAGGCAGATGTGTCCCAGTAACCTGATGCAGGTTTCTGACTGGAACTTAGGTAAAACACATCTGCAGTTCTATGGCACACAGCAGACAGCCATGCTGGAAATTGCTGTTATTTTTTCCCAAGTTTAATCTTTACTATGTGCTGGGATTTTGAGATTGCCTCTAATTGATATAACCTGTGTGCAACCCAAGGGATGGGTGTAGCAACATACAATGCAATGGGTTCAACCCTCTAGCCCATACCTAGTGAAACCCCTGCTGATGCCAATGAATATTGTCATCAATAAGATGTTTGTTGTGCTTCCCTTCTAAAAGCAAAGCTGAGGTGACATTTACAGTGCAGAAATCCACGTGGAGTTAGTAGCTGTAGGAGTAACCCTTTTAGACTGGGTGATTAAGCAATGAAACTGCCAGCTGAATAGAAAGTCAGGTCTCCAAAGGGGAAACAAAAGAACATCAGATCTTTTAAATGAATAAAGATGAATGAATACATTGGCTACACACCAAGATACAGCATTACTACAATCAACATAATCCGTCCTAAAGTAATTGCCATATACTAGAGTGCATTTGTTAAGAAAAGAACCTTAAAAGCAGGATTCTCCATTAGTGGCCTATTGGAAATGATGCCTCAAGGATAGAGAGTTTTACGAGGAATTCTCTGAGTTGATTCAGGGTTCACCCTAGCTAAAAATTACTTCCTATGGAGGGTAACCTAGACGTGAAATTCAGAAGGAGGGATAGTGCTGATTAAAAGCAGATCTTCTATAAGCAGACACTACTTCATAAAATCCCATTTACAGCTCTTTGATCCTTATGAAAGTATTTTAAGCAAACATTCCTCTTGGGAACAATGTCTTTCTTCCTTTGCCATTAAGTTTAAAAGTATTCCTTATTTTTAAGTACTTTGCTAAAAGCATGGTAATTTAACAATACTGTGTCACAGCTGGATCTGAATCTGACCAGCTCTGACAAAAGGCAGACAAATATATGCACACAGAAAAAAAGTACATCTCCTGTATATTATGGGAAATCAGTCTTCAAGGAATGCATGAAAGCAGAGAGGAGCTCTGAGTGGCTTTCTCCATTATTTGCCAGTGGGGTGTTAGACTTTGAGAAACAGCTCCCTTACAGATCGTCTTCTTGAGGACATTTGGATAATCAAGGAGAACACAAATATCAACCTGTTTTTTCGTACCTTCCCTCTAATCTCAGGATGCTGTGTCTTTTATAACTCTTAGTGGACTTCTTAAATCCTTAGTAACAAAGAATTCTGCCTCTCAAGAGCTAAAAAAGTAGAGATGAATGTCTTGGCTGGAAGTGTGATAACACAGTTTAATGCTGTTTTATGTCTGTTGCATTTGATCTGATGTCTTTTAAGCCGCATGACTTTATAGACAGAGGACTGGAAATACAGGTGGAGTTTGGAATTTAAACTGTTTTCAAATGTCTGTTTAGCATAAAGTCCTTAGTCATCTTCAGGGCTCTTGACTAATCTGGGTTTTAGAGAATACAGCCATTGTTGCTGTGGAGATGTTAAGGACAATGTTAGATTCTAGTAAGTCTGTAGAATTACAGAGGATGAAATCACTGCTGAGTGTTTCCTCCTCCTCTTGGCCTGGAAAATCTGGGTTTGAGTGTTGCAAAGACTTTTCCAATTGGCAAAAGCTGCAATGCAGCAATCGTAAAGGTCCAAACCAAGAATGAAGCAGCACTGAGACCCATATGTTGGGTATGTTATAAAAAGTTAATTGTAGACAAAATTGTGAAGCAAACTATAAATAGTTACAAATATATTATTTACTTGCTTTAGAGTGAAGATGTCATAGGTAGACAGTCCTATGAGAGAGGAATTTTCTTCTTTGTGGAGGGAAATCAAGAATTAATAGCACATATTGGAATTGCAGTCTGGATTGATGCTGCTATTTGATGAAAGCACCACTTTTGAAATCTCTTTGAATCTTTTTTATATGCCTAGAATATGTAATGGAAAATTAAATGCCTAGAATATGTAATGGAAAATTAATTCTTCCTTTTTTTTCCCCCTTTTTAACTCCATCTTGTATGCTAGAAGTGTGGTTTTCTCTGGAAGGTGCCTGCACAGGCAGCACATGGGTATTGATCCTGTAGAGAAGTGTGTGGTTTGCTATAACTTGTGCTGCATTGTATTTTGACATGCTGCAGCAATTTGAAATAATGTTTAGTAAATCTTATGGCAGTCTTATTTCTTCTGTTACTGTGTTTTTAATAGTCCCAAGAAGCAGATTGAGAACTGAATGTGTAAAAACTATATGAATTTTGTCATGTGTAATATTTTTAGATACCTCTAGCTCTGAGGGGAGTGGGTGAATGAAAAAAAAAAGCTAATTTTAAATTTCTTTGCAACTGTTCCTGCTCTTAACATTTGGATCACATTTTCATGTAACCCAAAGCAGAGTGATTTGCTGCCCAAGGGAATTTGTCTTCATGTATACTTTCATGGAGGCTACTGCAGAACTGGGGACTGCAGCAGGTCTTGGGCTCATGGTTTGACAGGTTGGTCAGGTGCTGCTTCTCCCTTCCACTGGGGAGCAGGAAAATACAGAGCTGAGCCAAGCTGATTCAAAACCCCCAGCAAAACAGGCAATTTATACACATCGTGCCAGTCACCAGCTTACAGATGTTTCATGTTGCTGGAGTGGAAACAATAGTTGTGAGGGAGTGACAGCCACTGCCTCCCGTCTGAGCAGCAGCTCCTCCTCCTGCAGCAAACTGGGTTTGTGGCATCTCCTTCTGCTGCCACGAGAATGCTGTCATGTCAGAGACTAAGCTCTGCAGCTTTGCTGCCAGGTTAAGCAGGAGAAGGCAGAGTGAGAGGCAGAAAAGATCACCGGCAGAGCAGTGTGCAGGGTTTGGAGGCAATAGGAGTGGCTGTTTCATACTCAGCAGTGAGCTGAGCCAGGAGGTGCCAGAGTGCCCATAAAATGGAGCTGCAGATAAGCATCGTGTCTGTGCTGGTGCTGTGTCATAGCCAGGCATGAAACTCAGAAGCAAACTGCGTTGCTACAATGCAGTTGCATCACTGCAGTAGTGAGAGCTGGAGGAGAAACACTTGGACTCTCATGAGTCCCACACCCTGCAGTGACTGCAGGGCATGGATTTGTAGCGGTGCTTTTGGTATCTCCCACGTCAATGAGCATAGGGTTTTTTCCCCTTGAATCTTGGCACCTCATGAATTGCTCAATATAATACTCTCTCTCTGTGTTGCCATGTTCCTGCTATCTGTTCTTGGCAGGCTGGTAGGAGGAGAGGGTCCCAGCAGCTTCCCTTGGCTTGCACCAGGAAGATCTGGACTGGCAGTTTCTTGTGCCAGGCAATGCACTGAAGACCTAGTATGGAGCCCTTGGGGCTCACCAGGCAGGGTACCACTGCCTGAGACATCTGTCAGCTGAACAGAAGGGTGGCAGCCACCCTCGAAGGCTGGTGTTGCTGTCACCTCCTGAGCTGAGTGATGAGCCTGTTGCTGTTTGCATTGTGAGAGCACTCGAAGGGCACTGAGTGGCTGTGGAGCCACTGAGCTCTGGGAGCTGGGCGAAGACAATATCCTACCTGGAGGGGATTACAGCTGGGAAGGAGAAATGCGGGCCAGTGCTGCTGTGATTAGTTCAGCAACTTCAGGTCACTCCTGCCTCCCCTTGCTGCATTCTCTCCTCCAGCCTGGAACAGGGAGAAGAGGACTCTGGTCCCTAGTTTTTCTGAACATTTGTCACTTGGTAAGAAAACTGCAAACAGCCTGGGTGACATCATGCCCCTTGTAAATAAATGGCACAGCCAGCTGCATGCCTGAGGAGGCTAACCCTCGTCACAGAGCCTGTGTGTGCCCAGATTTCTGTCCAGGATTTCACTGCAGCAAGTGCCAGTGACCTAAACCAGTGCAGGATCACCCAGGCATCAATGGCAGGATGGCAGTGGTGCAGGATGCCAGTGCCCCTTGGCCTTCAGGCACTGTCCTTGAAGCCTATACAGGGAATAAATACTCCATGTGGACCAAGGATTTGTATAAAAGTTTATTTAATGAAGAATACAGCAAATTGCTTGTCAGTGTTAACCTGTACCTCCTTTCTATTGGTTTTTTTTTTGTGTGTAATTTCCCCAGCCTGTTTGTGGAAACACATCTCCATGGTAGGTGCACACAAGCATTGTGTACTGCTGCTTTGGCTAAGGACAAGGCACCTCTGGTGAGGGTGTTTGAGGCAGCACCTGTTTGCTTGGGCACAGTGTGCTGCTGGGGTCTCCACAGGGCACCAAATCCTCACCTGGGTTGCTTGTGCCCATCAGCAGCATCTGTGTCAAGGTACTCTGCAGCAATCTGTATTGTGTCCTGCAGACACACTTGACAGCTCAGGCTGGTTAGGAGTGGTTCCAACAAAACTCTTTTGCTTCTGAATTTGCTGATTTGCCGGAATGGAAATGTGTTAGAGACGTTTCCATATCTATCAGGTCCTGATGAAAGCTGGGCAAGGTTCCATGGCACCATCCCTGATGGCTTGGCTGTCTACCTGGGGAGCATCAAGATGTGTGTCTTTTGCAGCCTAGTCTCCCATGGCTTTCTATACCCAGCTGGGGGAACCTTAGCCACAGGCTAGCTCAGGTGCAGGACCTTCTCCCTTTTGCAACAATTCTGCATAGATTTTATTTTCTGCTGTGTGGGAAGGTGTCAAGAATTAAAACATGGAAAGTCTCCATTGAAAGGTGGTGGATTCACCATCCCTGGAGGTTTTCAGGATGAGACTGGATGTGGCACTTAGTGCCATGGTCTAATAACCACGGTAGGGGTTGGACTCGATCTTTGAGGTCTCTTCCAACCAGGTTGATTCTATGATTCCCAAAAGTGCAGGTTTTTTTCTACACCAGAATTTCTTACACCCTCCAATATTCTGAAGAAGGCAAGACTTTGTAGCTAAATATTCAGTAATCCTTTATAGACTGTGAGGCTTAGTTTAATGTCTGACTCTGTAATTGAGAGCTTTCTTGAAACTGAATTTTAAGATTAAATTATTCTGTTACCTAGTTTTGTTACTTACATATGTATATTTATATGTAAAACCATATAAAATCCTTACGTCTACAATTATTTTTCTGGAGTTGTGCTTCAGTTTTATCTTAGTCTGTCTTATTTTCCCTGCCTGATACAGTTGTTTCTATTTATTATGCATCTTCTGCTGTTTTAAGGGAAATAAAATGTAGAATTTCTTGATGATTGTGCAGATTTCGTGACTCATTAGCAGTGACAGATGCAGTGCTCTGGTAACGTTGCCTGCCCATGTCAGTAAGCTCTTGCCTCTTGTAATTGGCCAGTGTTAATGTTTAGGAAGACAATTGAATGAGCTTAAAAAGAGCTCACAAGATGGTGCTCTGTGCAGGTCAGCAGGCAGCGTAGTAAATCATCATGGTGAGGAGATGCAACTGTATTGCACATGGCAAAATAACTTATTACTGTTCTGGCTGCTGAATCCCAAGTCCTGCAATTACAAGTGACATTAGAGAGGCTGGGGAGAAAACAGGGAGCCTGCTCTGGCAAATTCCAGATGGAGGTCTTGCATTCATCTCCATCCTCTAATGAGAGGGTGGTGACATCTGAGGCAGGTCCTGGGGACATATGTCATCACAGTTCTGTGCCTTCATTCCCCCCCAGCAGCACGTGGAGAAAAGCCTCAGACCTTCTGTGTACATATTCTTTTGTTAAGTGCTGGATTTAAAATGTCCTTTCCCCCATTCTTTCTCCCCTTAAAAATATCTGTTTCTCCTTTTTTGCTTTTCTAGAGTGATGCAGAGGACTATAGATATGTTGAACCTGCAAAATTGTTCAAGTGCAAGTTAAAAAGTAAATATGCAGCATATAACTGAAAACTTACGTTGTAACTCTGCTTTAGCACTTTCTAATGAATTATTTTTTTAGAAATTTATTGCTGTGCTGGTCGTATAGAGTAAGAAATATATCAACTTGTTTATTTTCTAAACTGGGAGTTCAGGCCATGCATAGTTTATACTCCTGAGTCATCCTGTAATTAAACCAAGAATTGAATCTGGAGTGAGGAGTATAAAACATGGACAAAACAGAGATTCTGAGTTACTGTCTGGTAAGCCAAGGAAATAATTTATAATAATGCCTTTTTTATTTTAATGTATGAATGGGCAAAGAAGGTTGTGACTGCTTTAGTGTTTTCCAGCATTCACAGTCACTTGGCAAGAGTCTTTCCAAAAGGTTTATGTACTTGTCGTGGTTTAACCCCAGGTGGCAACTCAGCCCCACGCAACCACTTGCTCAATTCCTCCACGAGTGGGATGGGGGAGAGAATTGAAGAGCAAAAAGAGAAAATTCATGGGTTGAGATTAAAACAGTTTGATAATCATATTAATAATAATAATCTAATGAAAAGGAAAATAAAGAAGAGAGAGGCATAAAACCCAAGAAGCACAAATGATGCCCAATACCATTGCTCACCACCAAAAGATTGATGGCCAGCCAATCCCCAAGCACTGCTTCTCCCCATCAACCTTCCCCTGAGTTTTATTGCTGAGCATGATGCCATATGGTATGGAATATCCCTTGGGTCAGCTGTCCCAGCTGTGCCCCCTCCCAATTCTTTGTGCACCCCCTGCCTCCTAACTGGTGGGTTGGGGTGATGAGCAGAAAAGCCTTTGACTCTGTGTGAGCATTGCTCAGCAATAACTAAAAGATCCCTGTGCTATCAGCACTGTTTCCAGCTCAGATCCAAAACATAGCCCCATACTAGTTGCTGTAAAAAAAATTTACTACGTCAGCCAAAACCAGAACAGCACTGAAGTTACAGACTTGCCCTGTCTCTGGGTAGGTGGTGTTTCCAGTGTGATTTCTTCAAGGAGAGAGTTTACATACTAGTTCTCAGGAATATGAGCTGGTAAAATTTGGTTTCTATAAGTTGTATTTTTTTTAAGAACAGACTGTAACCCTTTGAATAGAGAAAAATATAAGCAGGTAATTGTTGTGAACAGTATTCCTGCAGACTTGATATTTTGAACAGTTCTTTGTGGGAAAAAAAGTGTTTGCTTTCTGGCACTTCAAAAAATACAAGGAGGCAGTAGCTCTCTGTGCTTTGGAGTGAGTGAGATATGGTGTGGGGAGTCTCAGCATAGTCCACCCCAAATTCATCAGCAGACTTTGGCTTGCAGGAATCACAAATTGACTATAAGCTAGACTTTCAGCTGCTGGTCTGTGACACAGTACAGGGGGCACAAGCTGTGGGCCATGTCCCTTGGCTGCTGTGGTGTAGCAGCCTAGTTGACCCTGCTGAGCTAATGTTGTTAAAGGAGCTTCCCTGGGCAGGAATTTCTACATGGCAGGGCTAAGCAGCCTCTCCTGACATTGTCCCTTCCCATTCCAAGCTCTGTTACTCTTCCAGACGTGCCAAGAGTTCCAGGTGAGCTCAGCTTGGCTATTGCAGTGTTGGGCAGTTTCTTCTGGATGCTCCTATTTCCTTTTTGGCCTTTGTGCAATTAGGTAGTAGTAAAAGGGGATGTAGTGGCATTTCAGGTGTTTCCATGTGCAGTGATTTCTGCTTTGAGGAAAAAGAACTGTGATGACCATGAGGTCCTTATGTTTCAAAAGTCAGAAATAAACAGTGAAACTGTGGTTTTCCTCTCTACTGTCTGTGTACCCACATCAATCTGTGGGTATAGGCATCGACCTTTTTGTAGGGTAAGTGTTTTATATTCATGGCTTTCTATAATATGAGCATATTTGGTATCATCAATACGTTATGATGTTTATTTCAACAAACCCATATTTGTTCCTTTTTTTTTTCCCTCCAGAGTGACCGACTACTCATTAAAGGTGGAAGAATTATCAATGATGACCACTCCTTCTATGCAGACATATACCTTGAAGATGGACTTATAAAGTTGGTTTTATAAAATATTGAACTTCTTTTGCATGCCTGTTAGTATAGACTAGTGTGATTTCTTGATGGCGCTGACCTGAAATCTTCTGGACAGAATCTCAGTTAGCTCTAGATGTGAGGCCATAGTAGAGGAGTGTTTAATTATTAAATTCTGCCATTTTATCTTTACTAAGATTAGATAAGTAGACGATTTCTGTACTGTAAGTTGAAGGTATTTGCTTTTCAAACAATCCCAGTTTCTTCCAAAATAGGTAAGGCAAGCAAACTTTCTCAACACAAGAAGTAATGTGAAGGACAATGGGTATTTTTTGAGTCCATAAATGGCAGAAGGCTCATTATAGCTTTTTTTTCCCCCCCACAATGCAAATGCAGCAATGCTCTAAAGGTTTGTATGGCACAGAAATCTGAAATATGCCTCATGTTTCATGATACAAATGAGGACCTGCTACTTCTCAGTTGCCCTGTTGGTTAATCTTGAAGTGTAGCATGTTCTGTTCCTACAACACATGTTCCTTTTCTTGCCTAGAAAAGGTATATGATCTTAGATCTTTGCACAATTAGAAAGAAAATCCTACCGATTTATTAGGCTATAAAATACAGGAACCAGGAAAGTATTTATTAGGTGAAAAACTTGAAATACAAGTTACTGATAGCCTGGGAAACTGTTAGCAGAGATGTGCATGGACTCTGCAGGTCCTGCCTTGGCTTAGTGAAGATGAGTTGTCTAGCATTGCAAAGTTATGTAGTGTGTATGGGCACTCTGATGTGCACAAGGATCAAAGCCTTTTTCTTGATTGCTAAACATTTTCACTAGTAACCTAAGAAGCTTAGTCTCCAGAGGCTACAATTTAATGCACAGAAACATAATTATGGTTTTGTAGTAAATAATTAATTACCTACTTGTTTTCGGAGCTCCTTTACTTAAGAATATATCATTAGATTAAAAGTCCAATTCTTTATATATTGGTGGCTACTTACAGTATTATAATTCAGGTTATTATAACAGAAAAAATTTCTGAAACATTTCATCCATGGACTATGCGGTTTTCTTTTTAATAGTTCACTCTGCCTTTCCAGTTGTTACTTGCATTGCAGAAGTGGCAAAAGGAGTATATTGTTTGAAGTGGAAAAGACACAAAATTTTGAATGTGTGTCTGTTTTTAATAGCAACAATCAACCAAGTTGTGCTCTCTTTGATAGGTATTACAGTTGAGTTTTTCTGTGGTTTTGTTTGTTCAGATGCAAATCTAGTAATGCTTATAAAGCATCAAAACTGCTTTAACAACTAAGTGCATGAGATGCTGAGGATCTGGAACTGCTGTGAATTTTTGACTCGGATTCCAGAATTGCAATGGTACTTGGTAGGCAGGTTAGCAGTGCCACACTTTGACCTGCTCTTGTTAAGTGCATGGATTCCCTCTGAAATCCATGTGTGGATACATACCTCCAGAAAGTATCTCAGCTGCCCAAGATAGCTAGGATTAATAATGAATAGACAGGCAAGATTTTAATTGTTAGAAGGCCTTTATCTTCTAAGTTCAGTATTCAGCACCCCGAGTTGTGCCTGGTTTCCTGGATTTAGTTGACCCAAGATTTTTCTTTGTGAACTGTGCAAGAAGTCCTGCTCTGAAAAATCAGCTAATTTGTGAAGGCAGCTTGCTGTGAGATGGGCTTGGATCCTTGCTGTGTTGAGATGATAGATTTTGCAGCCTAAGAAAGCACCGGGTTCAGTCTCTTTGTTTCTCCAGCTGGAACTGTCCATTGTGTCTGAATATTGAGCATCATTGTTAAATATGGCTCCGGATCCTTTAGAGCAGAACCTTGAGCCTTAGTCATCCACATTTCAGTTGATGCTCTAACTCTCCAGCTGCAGATCCTGCTGATGATACAGAATTCATGCCACAGGATGGAGCAGACATCAAAGCACTCAGCCCAGAATAGGCAAGAGTGTCCTGGTTTTGCTGGGATATAGAAGATCTGGGTTAATTTTCTTACTCTGCGGTGGAAACTGATTGGAAAACAGAGGGTTGGGTTTCTCTTGCAGACTAATGAAATGAGTAGGTTCTTTTAACACGTGTGTCCCTGCAGAGTGTTCTGCTGCAGAGAGGAAAGCAGATGTAACATTGTGTTTGAAGGTTAGCTGCAGTATGGAGGATGGTAGATGCTTTTTCCTACCTATCAAGGTACAAGAGAGCAGTGGTGCATGTGGATTTTTCCTAGCTGAAACTTAAACCCTGCACACTCAGGTGGCAGCTGAGAGGGACTTCTCTGATATCTAAATAGTAGTTTAAATATTTGGTAATTTAAATTACCATTGGGGTATAAATAATATATTTTGCCTACATCTGTCCTACCTCTGTTACTGCTTGAGGAAATGAGCCCTGGTCTCAGTTCCAACTGGCAGGTCATGGTCTGGTGCTTGCTCTGTCCTTGCCAAGGGGAAGGGTTAGGTCCCTCTGGGCTGGAGGAACTAACAAATGTATGGGGTGGATGACTGGAGAGATGGTCTCCAGAGCTGAGCAGGTGATGAGCCAAGTTAGGGGGAGCCTAAAAGAGATCTGGCTTGATAACTACAGAAGTCACTCTATGGAGTTCTAGAGGAGGTTTTCAACTTTCTTGGGTGAAGCTTGGTAAGAGCTGAAGCCTGCTGTTTCCATTGTGTATTAATCAGCTCATGTACGACAGAATTTACCAGCTTGTTCAACCAAAAGTGGTAGGTAGCATCACCTTTCTGTGGGTCTGAGTTTTCTAGTTGCTGGTGTATCAGGAAACCAGCTCAGTCACTTGTACAGTGTCTAGAATACAGTTAATCTGCACTATTGTATTTTTTCACCCAAAAGTAACTGAAGCCCATTCTTATTAACATACACTTTGTATTGGTGAGTGAGCAGTGCAGGAATCCTGTCACATTATCTCCTACTCTCTGTTCTAGTCACTCAGAATAAAAATAACCTTGAGTACCAGTGAAGATCAACCTTCTCCCAGCCTTAATCTTGATGCCAGGGTAGGAGATGGGACAGACTTCTGACAGGTAGTAATGCAGCATCATCCACAAAGGCCATTTGGTCCCATGTCACTTCCACATGGATGACTTCAGCTGAATAAGCTGTTACTCAACTGTTTGCTGAAAATAATGAGCACTGAGTCATCAAAAAACTTCAATACATAGTTAGCACTCTTTTCACTTTGGGGTGTGTGTCTTCGTGAATAGGGAACTGGTAGGTACTGATTGTGGAAGAAATTAAAAATTAATTGCTTTAATATTTTTGTGTAGGTTTTCTTTAAAATTATTCTTAGAGGGTGGGTTAGTCCTTGGACTGCAGTTACACCATGGACATACTCAAAGGAGTTAGGTCATAGTGAATTTTTTTTCCCCAGTTCAGTTTGGTTTTTAGCCACACTGTTGCTGTACTAAGGTGGAGGGTGTTTCTGATTGAAATCTTGGGACTGGACTCAGCTAACAAAAGTTAGTGCTGCAGCATTATTGTATGTGAGGCTACCTAACTTTTGCAAGCATTGAATCTGCTCACGGGTGGAATGCCTTATGGTATGCCTTTGTGAGTCAGATTTTAACAGCAGAGGAGCTTTTGCAGCTTTCCTTTGTGCAGTTGGACGTGCTGGGCAGCTGCTGGCTTTTGCATATGTATCAGCTCCCTGTTTGCCAGGGTCTCGTTAGCACTCTGTGCAGCTGTAAACAGGTTATGACAAGCTCCCAGTGCTATACATGTTGATGACTATTAGATGCCAGACATGCAGTTGTATGGCTTGGTATTATCAGCTCTCATGAGTAAGCCCTTTTGGATTTGTTCAGTGCTGGGTGGCTGAGACCCCAGCTCAGGATGCTGGCACAGAGCTTGCCAACTACATGGCTGTGCTTCCTTCCAGCCAAAGCCCAGAGCACCAGGGGAGCCAAGTTGCTGGAGGTGACATTTTTGCATAGCATATGACATTCTTGACCTCTTGGGGCTATTTATTAACTGTGGTGGTTTGGCCAAATTCCAATGTGAATAATTATCCCTGTTTTTTTTCACCAGTTTTAATTAACAGTTATATTCACTTTTGGTTCGAGCTTGTCACAATCGGCTGTTAATCAGTCGCTGTGTTTTGATTTGTAGGTGGGAGTTGGATTTTAATATGGGAGAAACAGATTCAGCAGCTCAGATGTCTGAGGTATTTGTTTAGCCGTGGATAAATGTGATTTTATCCCAGATGAAAGGAAATTAAGACAAGGACTGTGTGTCTGTGATAGGAGATAAACTAAGTGAACTCAAACTACCTTATAGTTATCTCTAAACCCAAATATATTATGGTGTAACCGTGCAGAGACATGATTTCCTCACAGACCCAAACCTTTTCCTGTTTGGCACCATGCAAAGTAGACAATGAAAAAGTAGTGTAGCTTTAAAAGTTAAAGGTTAATTTGTTCATAGTTGTGTCCATGAACACTGAAAGTCTTTTGATCATAAGTATGTGGAGTTTGCTTGATGTCAGCATGGGGAACAGATTAATGTTTTTAATAGTGGGAAAAAAATTACCTGCTTTGAAGACCTGAAGGGAACAGTTAATTATAATTTTTCCACACAGTTATGCAGAATGCTTCACTAAGTTTTAACTTCAAGAGGAGGATGAAGAATATGTGACATGGTAGATTAAAGGTGTTTAGGTCTCTTAAATATGTATTTTCATATCTTAGGTTATTTAGATTTCTTTTTAAGGATAAATTTGCATTGCTTGATGACAAAGTAATTATAATACTTTCTTATGTGCCTTGTGCTTCTGTCATCTATTTACAATTCCAGCTTGTTGTCATATTTGATCTGTGTTTTTCTGTTTTTATTTAAGAACTTAAAATACAAAACTGGAGCTCCCAGGAGAGCATCAAGTGTACATAATTCTAATTGTTTAAAGATAGGAATCATATAAAAATAATCAATTTTTAATGCTGGTGCATTACAGCTCCTTTATTGGCCACAAGAGCAATGCAAAGCAAGCTGAGCACATGGCTCAGTGAGACAGCTCACCAGTACTAGGCAGGATGGCTGGAGCAGGTGCTTGAGCTTCTCCTTGCCTTTGGGGTCCCACCTCTTTCTGTATGGCCTCTAGGTTCCTCTCCCCTACCTGCCTCAAATAGCTTCTGTCCTCTGTGCTTACTTGTTTAAATAAAGTAATAGTGTCTTTCCTTGCTGTCCAGGCAAATAGGAGAGAATCTGATTGTTCCTGGAGGAGTCAAGACCATAGAGGCTAATGGGCGCATGGTTATTCCTGGGGGAATAGATGTCAACACCTACCTACAAAAGCCCTACCAAGGGATGACTGCTGTTGATGACTTCTATCAAGGCACAAAAGCAGCACTAGCAGGAGGCACCACCATGATCAGTGAGTACTGGCAATGCTGTCTCTTCCCGCTCCAGGCTGAAGCTCGTGTAGCATGTGTGGGGATAGCTACTGGAGGCTCCATCCTGATTTTCTGAGATCTTCTGCATTGAATCTTCACATTTCTGGGCACTGTGTTTGAGATCCATTCATCATTGTCACCCATTAAAGCCTTAAAATGAACCTATCCTCAGAAAGAAATGGCAGCATGAGGATTTGTCTCTTGGCTTTTCCTCTGAAATGCAGGACAAGCACTGAGGGATAATACAACTACTCTGGTGATTTTTGGAAGAACAGTGTAGGTAGTGCTGTAAGTATATGGCACGGGAAAGCCAGCCAAGATCTGCTGTTCCACCTAGTGCCATTTCAGGAGCTTCAGAAATAACAAGATGCTTCTTTATGAACTCAGAT